TATATTTCTGATGTCACAATTTACATCTTTTTATGTGGCATATGCCTTAACAACTTGTATCTACAGTTCTTTTTTGACTATTTTCTCTTTTAACCTTCATATTGGAGATATAAATGATTTACACACCACCATTATAATATTGGAGTATTCTGAGTTAGACTATATATTTACTTTTACCAGTGAGCTTTACACTTTCATCTGTTTTCATATTAGTAATTAGCATCCTTTTGCTTTTACTTGAAGAACTCTCTATAAGGCAGGTCTAGTGGTAATAAACTCCCTCAGTTTTTGCTTGTCTGGGAAAGACTACTTCTCCTTTATTTCTGAAGAACAGCTTTGCTAGGTAGAGTATTATTGGCTGGCAGGGTGTTTTTTTTTTACTTTCACCACTTCGAATATATCATCCCATTAGGGTTCTGCTGAGAAGTCCACTGACAGTCTAGTAAGCATTCCTTTGTATGTGAGATGTCACTTATTTCCTGCTGCTTTTGGAATTCTTTGTCTTTGGCTTTTGAAATTTGATGATAACATGCCTTAGTGAGGACCTCTCCAGGTTGAACCTGTTGGAGGAATCTTTGAGCTTCATGTATCTGGATATCTGTATCTCTCCTAAGACATGGAAAGTTTTCAGCAATTATTTCATAGAACAAGTTTTCTATCCCTTTCTGTCTCTTCTCCTTCTTTAACTCCCATAAAATTTGTTTACTTAATGGTGTCCCATCAGTCTCATAGACTTTCTTTGCTTTTTCTTTTTTTCCCCCCAACTGGGTAATTTCAATAGACCCATCTTCAAATTTACGATTTTCTTCTGCTTTATCTAATATACTGGTGAAGCTCTCTATTGTATTCCTTATGTCATTATTTGAATTCTTTAGTCTTAAGATTTGTTTTGTTCTTTTTATGATATGTACATCTTTTTGAATTTTTCATTCAGATCATGAATTGTTTTCCTGATTTTGTTGAATTGGGTGTCTTTGTTTCTTTTATCTCAGTGAGTTTCCTTAAGATCATTATTTTGAACTCCTTTTCAGGCAATTCATAAATTTTCTTTTCTTTGGGATCAGTTACTGGAGAACTGTGTTCCTCTGTTGATGTCATATTTTCTTGCTTTTTAGTTTCATGTGTCTCTGTACTGATAACTGTGAATCTGGTAGAGCAGTCTCTTCTTCCAAATTTTACATAGTGGCTTTCATAAGGAAAGACATTCACCTGCAGATGGAACCAAGGGTGCCAGTTGAACAGGGTGTGGTGGCTCTTGTTATAAATGAGCACAGTGATGCAGCTTTATCAGCTGTGATTAATGTCAATGATGGCCTTGGGTCCCTCAGTGGCTTACGCTGCAAGCTTTAATGGCAATAGTGGCAGCAGCACAGGTTGTTAGGGTCCTCTGTCTTAAGGACTTTTGGTGCCCCCTTGTTTGTTTCCCCACATTTGGGGGTCTTAGCTGAGGGGATCTCTCTTGGTGTAAGGTCTGACATGGTCCACAGGCAGTAATGGTGATGCTGGGTTCCAGGGTGCTGGTGCTTAGAATAGCTGTCGAACTGGGGTCCTGAGTTCAGAGTCTCATGAATCTATAGTGATACCTGGGACTTGGGCCTCAGATTCACTCTCCAAAGCACAGGTATATGCAAACTGTCCCCAAAGCCACAGCTTGTGACTCTGAGGAGTACCCAAGCAGCTTGGGCCAGGGAGCAGGGATGTAATTGTGACTCTGACCCTGGGAGGCAGGCCGCAACACTGGTACAGTCTTGAGGGACAAGGGGGACTCCAGGTGCTTGGACCCCCAGGGAGCAGCTTGTAGCTACAATTTGGGTTTCAGAGCTAACAGGACACAGCAACCTCTCAGGCCCTAGGGGACAAGATACCACACAGAGGTGACTCTGGATTCTGGATTGGACATGAGGTATAGTGACAACAAGGACATAGGAATGATGGGGTGCATATGTGGCTTGGGCACTGGGGGGTGAGGAGCAGTGCAGTCATGACTCTACTTTCTGAGGAGGCAGGCACCTCAGCAGCTTAGACTCTGGGGGACTAGTCCAGTTCCAGGGAAGCAAGGGTGGTCCAGCTAAGCCAATATATGTGATATTTATTAGTGATATCATATGTGTCCCTTGGATGTGGGGCAGTACATCCCCTCAGGTGCTGATGAGGATCAACTACTTGATTAGGCCAAGGCATTGGTTTCCTGTGAGGTGGGATACTGCTTTAGCTCAGGCACTGCCTCAGCTCAGGTGCTGGGGGTCTGACTGCTTTGCTTGGCCAAAGCAATCCCTTGGGGATGTTATGGAACAACTGGAACTCTTAGACACTTTGGAAAACTGCTTGGTAGTTTTTAAAAAGTTAAGCATACACCTACTATTCACCCCAACCATTCCACTCCTAGATATTTACCCAAATAAAATGAAAACATATGTCTACACAAAGACTTGAATAGAAATGTTATAGCAACTTTATTCATAATAACTAGAAACTGTAATCAACCCAAACGTCCATCAAGAGACGAATGGATAAACAAAACATGATCTGTCCATACAACAAAATACAGCAACAAAAAGGAACAAACTAGTTCATGCTATATGGATAAATCTCAGAATCACTGTGCTGAGTGAAAGAACTAGACACAAAAGAGTAGATATTATAAAATCCCATTTATATAAAATTCTAGAGTAAACAAATTGATTCTATATGTTTGCCTGGTGCCAGGAATGAAGGGTAAATAGACTACAAAAGGCCACAAGGAAACCGTTGGGCTACGGGAATATTCTTGATGGTGGTGGCAGTTCTTGTGTTATATACTTTTATCTGACCTCATCAAATTGTATTATTTAAGTGGATGAAGTTTATTAAATATAAAGTATAACTTAGAAAAAAATTAAGAAATACACCAAAAAAGAAAAAAAAATAGAGAAAAGCATCCTAACTATCTGTGTAGCACTAACCAAGTCTTTTAACTTCTCTGAGCCTTAGTTTTCTAACCCGTGAGCTAGAAATAATACCCACTTCTCAGGTTTGTTAAAAGATTAGTGATAGCATATATTTTTTTAAAGTGCCTATGTAGCAGCTGGCATATGGCATGTGGCTCAGAAAATAGCTTAGGATTCTGATTTCAACTTCACTCACTTCTAGAACACTAATTTTACACACTATTCTCTAAGACTTTAATTTGGAATATATTATGCTCTACCAAGTCTGTTGCATTCAATTAACTGTTCAACAAACATGCACTGAATGGATAAACTAAAAAACATAAAAGGCATGCAAAGTATTTGGTGATATACAAGTATGAAAACTTATACACACACACACACACACACACACACACACACACACACACACACACCCGTAATGAACCAAATGACCTATCTTGCCTGATACACACACACCCCGTAATGAACCAAATGACCTATCTTGCCTGACCCACTTGCTGATCATTCATTCATTTGTCAAATATATATTGAGTGTCTACTATGTGCTAGGTGCTTGGGACACAGAGCAATCAAAGGAAACAAAAATCTCTGTTATTGGCATTTTGTATTCTTTAAAGGGTAGGGAGAGAAGGCAAGGGGAGGGGAGAATAAACACAATGAATGAGTAAATTACAGAATATGTTAGAAGGTGATAAATGCTACGAAAAAAGAAAAATAGAAGAAGAATTTGCAATTTTAAGTAGGGTACTCCTCACTGAGAAGGTAAGCATTGAGAAAATAACTTTGAGCAAAGTAGATAAGGGAGTTAGTCATCTGGGGACCAAAGATTCTAAGGCGAGAGAAAAGCTAGTGCTAAACCAGACCATACCTGGCTTATTTACCGACAGAGTGGATTGAGCAAGAGACATAACAACAAGAGATGAAATCAAAGCTATTTGGGTGTGAGGGGAGAGGCAGATCATAGAGGGTCTTATTGGCCATTTGGGGGAGTCACTTCAAGGTATTGAACAGAAGAGAAATAGTTTATTTTTGGTTATAAAAGCCCCCAAGAAATGTTTTATGGAAGATGTTTGAAAGCATATACTGAAAGTGAGGAAATTTTCCCCTGAATATCACTAATATCTTATTTATGACTTATTTTCAACCAAGGCCTCCTTTGTTCTATTTGTAAACTACCTCATTCAAGCTTTAAGTGGTACTTTCCAAGTTAAATGTCCTGGAGTTTGTTGGTTCACTAAAATGTACTTCGCCATTCCTACTGCTTCTTCACCTTTGTTTTAATCCATTTATAATGCATTTTTAATTAGAAAATGAGCTTATTTTTATATGAAGTCTTTCCTCACCTTGCTTATTAGGGCCACTATTACCTAAGTCTTTTCCTCTTGGATTGTGAAAACAGTAACTATATTTCTCTATTTCATTTTCAGGTGCATCAGGAACATATCTGTGACTTAGTTAAGACTGGGTCAGTGCCATTAGAAAATATTTAACAATTCTCTTAAACAGATGCAAAGGTAGTTTGCATCATCCAAGTACAGAGTGAGTACTTCCTCTAATATTTTCCTTATTTTTATATGCTAATTAAGCTCAACCATCATGTTTTTAAGCAACTACAGGGCTTTATGATAATATATTGATTTGTTTCCATAAACCTGATACTTTATTACGAGAACTATGTATGATCTGAAATCTTCATGATCTTATAGTCATTAATAAAAATGCTATGAGCCTATAATTGATTACTTCCATCCAGAGAAGTCTGTTCCTATGCAGTTCTCTCTTCATAAATACATACTCTTCCCACAAACCTACAATTCAGAGGCTTTTGTTCGATTTTCTTTTCTAAGGGGAAGAATCCACAGAGAAGGGAATCAATATTTATTTTAAAACTACATTTGAGAGAGCAAACTTTATGAATGAAACAAATTTGCTGGTTTTCTTCCCATTAACATCACTATTTTTTCAGCTATATTTGATCTATATTCAGAATCCACAAAATGTTCTTTTAAAAAATTTGGTTAGGATCTAAAGATAAAAATCCAGGTCTCAGTATAATTTATACCAACTCACTAGGACATCTTCAGCCATTCATCACCTTTTGGTTTCCAATCTCCTTTTATCAACTGCTCAAAATGTGTGATAATGGTACCACCTGCACCTAAAAATAAGAAAAGAACCTTCAGAAGAAGAAAACAGAAATGTGATTACTAGAGGTGGGAAAAGGAAAGGGAGAGGGGTGTTAGCAAGAAATCAGTTAATAGACACAAGGAGTGATTACATTTTATAATGATGAACATGTTAATTATTCAACTCCATACCCTACAAATATGTATAATCAGTGATGCTTTAATAAAAAAACAATAAATGAAAATAAGAAAATAAAACAAGAATGATTTAGCCAAATTTTTTTGAAAAAATATTTGAGAGGAGCCATAATCCTATCACCTGGTTGAAAATTCCAAGAGGATTCACAAATATAATTCTTGGAAGGAAGAAAAAAGTTGCCTTGCATATTTAAAGTACTGAGGCAATAGGAGCCATAATCCTATCACCTGGTTGAAAATTCCAAGAGGATTCACAAATATAATTCTTGGGAGGAAGAAAAAAGTTGCCTTGCATATTTAAAGTACTGAGGCAACGACAGTCCTTCCCTTTCCCAGCAAGGCAACCGCTATTGTACTGTAATTAAGGCTAAAATGCATGCCTCAGGCACAGAGATATGGCTAGAGGTTTATTTCAGACCTAAAAGATAAAATCCTCTGCTTTATCATTTCCTTTCCTGATATTAGTCTTAGTGGCAGTACACTGTAACAAGATGTTAGAAAAATTTGTTCAGTTCCTACATACAAAACAACAATAAAGGCAAGCAATGCAAAGTGAACTTGAACCCATAATTAATCATATTTACTATTTCCAGTAATTTAGGATGGGAAAAGAACACAGAAAAGATGGAGCAACATTTTTTATATTTACATGTATCACATCATTTTAAACTTGTTTTATTTATGGTGGCATTACAACTTAATTAACTAAAAATCCCTCCGGTTCTGGGGCTCCTAATCAAACAAACCATAAAAATTTTATACCATAAAGTAGTCAGCCTCAAAAAATTGGCTGATGACCAGTACTAATGAAAAGTGCTAATTTTGAATTAACTTTACCAACCAGGAGAAACAAGGTTTCCACCTTCCAAAAAGACTGTTATTGAAGTATGTGATCCCCATAAATGTAACCAGATAATTGTTCAGTAGTTGTGACTTACCAATAACAGAACACTTATGAATGCATATTGTTAATATTACCTCGGGCCCATCCAGTAGCTATCATGACTATCCAGCCATTTTTGTAATAGTTATTAGCATGTGTGACTCCACCTACTATTTTCCAAGTTCTGGTCACTTCCTTCATTCCTGCAGCCAAGAGTTGAACAGGTAGGAATGAATAGCCCTGGGAAACCAGGTCCCATGGGCAAAAAAAAATAATATACCTGAAATTAAAATGTAAATACTTTAATATATGAATAGCATCAGAAAAACAGAAATAAAAATCTAATCTATCAAAACAATTGCAAAAACAATTTGGCAAAACACAACAAATGGAATTATCCACATAAACACGGAATATGAATTCAAGAAAAGTACAGATTGTGTAGAGAATTGATTTTTTTAAATCACAAACATATCTGCCAAAAAGTCATGATCAGAGGGGAATGTAAATTTTGGACTTCAGAGTACTCTATAGATGTATGAATTATTTACTGATTCCTAAATTGTGCTTATCCTGTTCTATAAGCTTAATGCTGAACCCACTAATAAAATAGAGGAAATGCATAATCACTTCCAGGAGTAGGGTCTCCTCTAGCTGCAGTGTCTTAGTACTCTGGGAAAATGAATTAGACTAAAGGGCCTTCGGTAACTGAGCAAGTATTTCATTTCAACTCTCATTAACATCTTCACCTGTGCCCCTCTGTGCAGGACATAAAGTACAAACTATACAAAAACAGCTCACAAGGATACAGATTTGTGTTAAGGAAGAACATGCTTTCATACAACTGAAAGAATATGAAGCCCATTCCTTAAGTTAGGTAAGTAAGCTTTAGTTTTAACCAATTAAACCGTTATTAGTTTAAGAATAATGCACCTCTTCTCTGGTGAGTTTTTTTTTAAAACTTCATTTGTTCTCCCTATCCGTTCAAATATTAGCAGTAGTATTTATTGGAAGACACGCTACGTTTTTTCTCTCCATTCTTTAAATAATCTGTCAGACAATTTTGTGCTTAAAGCAGAACATATCTTCATTTTAATGGGGTGATATAGAATAGATGGCATGAAAGAAGTACCACATCTCTTTTAAAAGAAACTACTAATGTTAATAATACAATCCTTGATTCATAAAGTCAGAATTCTCAAAAGTATTCATGGAGTATGAAATGTTTACCAAAATACTGCTTCAGAGACCAAATACAAGACACAACAGTTTGTTTGGTGTAAAGCGACCTTTCTTCTTTATCTCCACTTACCAATTCCTTCCTATTCTTCAAGGTCCCACTCAAATACTACTATATCCACTGACTTTAGCGGTTTTGTTTTATTTAATCTTTTCAGCTCAGACTACATTCTAATGGCTCTGTACAAATAAAACAATTGGTTCCTATGTCCCCAAATAGCTCTTTATACATTTTCCTTTATAATATAAAATAAAGGCTGTAATGCTTGTAATTAAATTATAATAGTTCTTAGATGACAGGAATTGTTAATCTTCTTACGTCCTAACCTATAACTCAACATGATGAAAAGTAGCCCTGAATTAAATCATTCATTAGCCATCAATCTGGAGGCGAAATACAAAATACACCAAATAAAATAATCAGTTGACAAAGAGTCTGAGAAAAAGAAGTCATCTGAGAGCAGCAGATTTTTTAAAATGACTAGTATGATATTAAAATTTTACATGTTCATATAATATCTTGAAAGTCTCTGCACACTAGTTTTTAGATATAGAACTAATTTCTAGGAAGTAAGTTAGGTAATGGGGGAAAAAAAGAGTATATACATTTAAATGATCAATTTTCAAATGTATTTTTAATAAAATAAAATTATTTTGGTATCTAGTAAGGGGGATTTGGTTTCACTTTAGCAGCCTTTAATGCTCAAAAGTATTCTCAAAAGTAAAATATTCAAACAAAGAAACAACAGAAACAATATTACAAATGACCCCATTTTAATTCCCTACACTGAGCATATCTTTAACATGAGTTCGAAACTTATACTATTTCGACTTCCAGTCAACATGGTGGAATAGACAGTCCCCAGGCCAGCATCACTCTCTTCCACAAATCAACCAATTTACAACCATAAAAAAGCAACAACAGCCAAGCTAAGGCTGCTAGAACTCAGGGGAAGAGGAGGAGAGACCTACGAAGTGCATGAAGGCGGGAAAAGCCATGAAGAGAAAAAGAAAAAACTGCTCTGACCGTTTTGAACCCCGGCCACTTCCAGGCTGGAACTGCTGAGTGCTCAGAGCAGGAGCTGGCAAAAGCCACAGCTGTACCCTTTGGATGCAGTTCCTTGGAGGCGGCAGGGGAGAAAAGGGCCTTGGTGGCCCATGGGCCAGCAAGACCACTAGTAGGGAGTGGACCCACACAGGAGCGAGGAGCCACAACAACTGAAAAAAAGGAGCCACTCAGAGGCCAGTGAGTCATCACAAGGGACCAGCACACAGCCCGCCCATGGGAAGTGTTTGGAGCATGGGTGGTGGGGGAGACAGGCCCACCAGGGGAACATAGGTCACAGCAAAGACAGCTGATCTGTACCCCAATCAGCATAGGACCACTCAGAGGAGACTGGTCAGGAATATAGAACTGCAGCAGGTGCAGTCTGATGAAAAGACTCAGGCCCACACCAAATTTTCTACACAAGCCAGGTGCACCGGATCTCTCAAGAAGTCAAACATTAAAACCTGATCTGCACAAAAAGCCTTCCCCAGAGAACTAGTAGCAAAGCAGCAATTTAGCTACACCACACAGCTCAAGTACTGGTCCCCACAGGAAGTTCCCCCATTTTATAAGTAAGCAAAGGACAACAAATTAGTTGCAGTGCAGAGTTTAAATGGTGGGAACAGCAAGTAATCCAACACAGAGCTGAAAGAAAAAACAAAGTAACCACAACCAGAGACAAAGTTTCATATTCACTAGTAAAGGTCTCATTTCAACAAAGAACACCTATGACACCTAGAAGAACCGGATGTCCCCTGGGCTACCAAGCCAGAAAGGGGGGAGAGCCAGGGGCCTCAACAATGCCCCCCAACACCCACAACAAATCCCAAGGGTGGGGGACTAGGGCCTCAGCCACAGGATGCACCCTGGGCTCTCCTGAGCCAGGGCAGTGGGAGACCTCAGCCACACACACCCCCACCACACACACCCCCGCCACACAGCCAGCCCATTGGTGACCACCGAGCCACCGTAGGAAGCTCCCCAAGCTCTCCCGAGCCAGAGTGGTGGGGGGGCCTTGGGCCTCGGCCATGCCCACCCAACACCTGCAGGCAGCCCAGCAGCGACCACTGAACTGCCACAGAAAGGCTCCAGGCTCTCTCAGGCCTCGGCCATGCCCCCCCGACACCCACAGCCAGCCCAGTGATGACCACCGAACCACCATAGGAAGCACCCCAGGCTTTCCCAGGCTAGGGTGGTGGGGGGTCCTCGGGCCTCGGCCACACTGCCCCAACATGCACAGCCAGACCAGTGACGACCACCAAGCCGCCACAGGAAGTGCCCTGGGCTCTCTCAAGCTGGGGTAGTGGGGTTCCTTAGGCCTCAACCATGCTCCCCAGACATGCACAGCCAGCCAAGCAATGACCATCACGCTGCCGCAGGAAGCGCCCCAGACTCTCCCAATCAGGGGTGGTGGGGAGCCAAGGGCCTCGGCCACACACCCCCGACATGTGCAACCAGCCCAGTGATGACCACCAAACTGCAGCAAGAAGGGCCCCAAGTTCCCAAGCTGGGATGGTGGGGGGCGAGGTCTTTTGTCACACCTCCCTGACATCTGCACCCAGACCAGCAATGACCAAGCCACTGCTGGAAGCCCCCTGGTCTCCCTTGTGGGAACGAGGGGGGGGGTCACAGGCCTTAATCCCACCCCTCCTCCTTCCTCCTTCTTCCATTCCACTTCCTTCCCCTTTCCCCTCTCCCTCTCCCTCCCAACTGCTCCACTACAACATCCTAGGATGTAAAAAGTAATATTAATAAAATTACATTTTCTTTACAAAGAAAAAAACATACTATTTCAATAGCAATCTTGGACTTTTTATATTCAACCAAGTGACATTATGTTATACGGTCTAAAATCTATAATTACTGCTATTTCTGGACAAATATCTCTTTATTCTATTTAATCAGATATTTTTGAAGTACACCTACAATAAGCTAACATTTTAAACAAAAAAATTGTTCTCATTCAAAATAAATAGCCAAACAGCAAAAGAATAATTATTTATGATGCTCAGCAGACTTACGAGTAAACATATCAAACCAATGGCTCTATGACACAACTATTCCCACTCTATAACACAAATAAGCTTTTTAAAATTCCTTTAATGAATCACTCAACAACCAACACTCATTAAGTTATCACCATGTCCCTTCTGTAAAAATTATAATTTAACCTTTAAATAAAATTGTCAAATCTAAGGTACCTTTAACTTGTAAAGTACCTAAAGAAAACAGAGAGAAAAGAGAGAAAAAATGGAATGAGAAGACAACACGTGATTTCTCATACATTTTTAAGTAACACACTTTAATTACAAAAAAAAATGATAAAGAATAGAAGTTAGTCTAAAACAGGATACAATCAAGATTGTAGGCCACTAATAAATAAAACAGTACAAGTAGAAAAGATGAGGGGTTGCCCTCCTCTCAGAAGCCAACAAGAGAGCATGCCCAGGGTCCTAGGCAGCAGCTGAGGGCAGCCCCCTCTGCCCAAAACCAGGCAAGAAACAGGGTACACCCAGGGTCCTACGCAGGAGCCAAGGACAGCTCCCTCTGCCCACAAGCAGGTAAGGAGCATGCTGAAAACATCACTTCTGCACAGGTGGTCCACCACAGCCACTGCTGCCACAAAAGTGGCTCAATGCCACAGCAGTAGCCACAGCCACTGTGCAGGTGGCATGCCAGACACTTGGCTGCACTGACACAAGGAGAGTCACCAGCAGAAACCAGAAAAAGAAGAGGCCATCTCTTTTCTCAAAGCCCACTCCAGAGTAATAGAAGAAACAACTGCTCTACCAGATAACCAGACATCAATGTAGAGATACTAGAAATATGAAAACTCAAGAAAATATGACATCACTGAAAGAATACAGTAATTCTCAAATACCACACCCTACAGAGCAGGAACCCCTTAAAATGACTGAAAAGGAATTCCAAGCAATAATCTTAGGGAAACTCACTGACATATGAGAAGACTCAGTCAGTCAGACAACATAATG